CTCTTCTTCAACGGCTTCCCAAACGTCTTGTCCACCAAGGAAAATTTTCATTTGTATGCTCCATCGATCATAGTTCTCTTTTGCAAGCTTTTGAAATGGGAAAGCTCCATTTGTGGTTGCCATCGCTCTTTTCTATTAAGACGTGGCTCTGATACCACTTTGTTGGATCGGTTTAATAATATAGAGTGAAAACACGCAGCGGAATAACTTAAAATAGAGAGGAGGAGTAGTGGAGAGGAGATAAAAATATATTACTCACTCAATCAACACAAATATATAAACTCACTCAAGAACTCTCTTTTGATTCTCTCTAGAATACTTCTTGTTTTTTGACTTACTCCAAATGAAAAACTACATAAACTATTTATAGGATTTTCCTAGCATGTATCTAAACAAATACATGAACACATAATTAATAATATTCTTCCTCCATAGCATTATACATGAATCTCTCCAAAAGACACATTCATGTATTCTTCCACATTCATGAATTCTAGAACCTTCAATACTTTGAACTTGATTAATGAATCTAGCTTATTCATTTCCAACATTCCTTTGGAGATTGAAGATATATGTGGATGTTGTAAATTATTCTACACAAATAATTAGTCATTTGTGTTTGTTCTAATTGTGTTTCGATTTCTCAGAGGCCCAAGGCTGCGGCCTTGCTCGCCTTGCCCTATAATTGTAGGGAAACAAGTTTTCGTGACGGAAAAATATCCTATTGGAAGTAAAATAACGGAGAAACAGTTATTTAAAGGACATGAAATTTAATATTGATGGATATAATCAATTATTTTGATGTTATAAATTATGTGATAAAATTTGCTGTCTCAACAAATAGTATGGCAGCAAATGCATTGTCCTCTCGGATGCTCACGGGACTTTTGACAAACCTTCGTAGGATCATAACCATGATACGAAGCGTAACAGTCGGAGTCGCACTTTGATTTTCCAGCTGGCGTGTCGCAACTATAACCGAAATTCGAAGAGCAATTCCCGTACACCTCTATTTTTACAGATTCCGCACTGAGAGTCGGAATATCAATTTGTCTAGCTTCCACCATTTTTCCTTCCATGTCAATTACTGCATGCATATATACATACATTCATTAGAGACCAAAATTCAAATTTACTACTATATGTATCAACGGCTAGAAACTCGGGTCCACCCGGACCCGCTATGACAGAATTCAAATTTTTTTTCCACGGTCAAGATTCAAAATTTTTTTTTTTTTTTTTCAAAAGACCGGTTTTGGACCCGGACTGGACCCGAGTGGACCCGGACCTGCCTCCACATGGGTCGATTTCAGGTCCACAAAAAATAGGACCCGGACTCAGCCCGTGGCCGTGTCTAATCCAAACCACTCATCCAAAAATTATAAAATTTTACCCATTTAATTATATCTTTATAATATCTTTTTATTGAAATAATATTTAAAAACACATATTTATGTCGCATGTTTTGGTGGATTTTTCGGTTATTAGAAAAATAAAAGTTACATGAATTTTTAGAAATTTTACCGGAGGAGAAAATGATGAAGAAGAGAATGCACGAGACTCGGGCGACGGTGGCCATCTCTGGTAATGATTGATTGATATAAAATTATAGGGTGTTACTTTGGATTGAATATTTGAGTGCAGATAATTCAATCTATATATATAGCGATTAGCGATGCCTTTGTTGTTAATTAGTTTGATTTCTTTCAATATTTTGAGATTTTGTTAACTAGATATATAATCTTTTATTTTAATATATATAAAATAAAACTCCAATTATAGAGTTCTTGCATGTTATTTTTCAAATATTCGCCATGTCCCCTGGTTAAAAATGTGATTTGGTCTCAAGGAACTCGAGTTTAAAACCCAGTGAAAGTATTTTGAACAAAAAATAAAAAATCCGATCCCGACCCGAATCCGGTCCGGAACCGACCCGAACCCGACAGGACCCCAGTGGACCCTACCCGGACCTGCCTCCCCACTGGTCGGTTTCGGGTCTCCAAAAAGTTGGATCAGAACCTGACGGGTCCAACCCGGACCCGGCCTGACCCGTGGCCGTGTTTACTGTTAACCACGTAAATATAATTTTTTTATTATTATTATTATTTTTGCCTTTGTCGAACGATTAGCATATTAATATTACTGTCAACCACAGTAATATTACTGTTTAAACGGCAAAAAATGTTTAAAAAAAAGGGTTTTCAAAAAAAAAAAAGTTAACGCCGCAGGAGACCGGCGTCGATGCGGAAAAAACAAAAAACAAAAAAAAAGGTCAACGCCGAAGACCGACGGTCAACGGATGCGAAGTCGAAATTATAGTAAAAATTGGGTTGGAGGTCAAAATTGAATATTTGGTGAAATTTGGGGTCAAATTAAAATTAAATTAGATTAAATAATGAAATTGGAGCACACTAACATGTGATAGTCTTTTACACACCTATAAGTATAACAATAACAATAATAATAATAAATAAATTAATTAATATGTGATAGTGTTTTACACACCTATAAGTATAACAATAATAATAATAATAAATAAATTAATTAATGTGTGATAGTCTTTTACACACCTATAAGTATAACAATAACAATAATAATAAATAAATAAATTAATGTGTGATAGTCTTTTACACACCTATAAGTATAACAATAACAATAATAATAAATAAATAAACAGATAATGAGTTACAATTTGTATTTTAGATATCTCAAAACATCAAGATTATTGGCAATGTTTGGCAGTGTTCGTTCATTCATAAATATCTTTCTCAAAAATTTCAAAAAAAATTATACATTAATGAGTTATTAGTAGAGATTTTTAATATTAATGATAATTAATATGACAATTAATTATTTATTAAACATTATTTATATAACTATTATAATAATTTTACACTTTCATTTCAAATAGGGTAAATAGCACTTAACCCATGTAGTTTAGAGATTTTGCACGTGACCCCATTATGGTATGAAATTACACACATGACCTCCTTGTGGTTTAGACATTTTGCACATGACCCCCTCATGGTATGAAATTAGGCACATAACCCCCTTGTGGTTTTGACATTTTGCACATGACCCCCTTATGGTATGAAATTAGGCACATAACCCCATTGTGGTTTTGACATTTTGCACATGACCCCCTTATGGTATGAAATTAGACACATAACCCCCTTGTGGTTTTGACATTTTGCACATGACCCCCTTATAGTATGAAATTAAGCACATAACCCCCTTATGGTTTTGACATTTTGCACATGACCCCCTTATAGTATAAAATTAGACACATAACTTCCACTTGATGAGTTGTCCTATTTTTTCTCCAATTTCAATTCTATGTGCCCACTTGATTGGTTGACATAATTTATGAAAAAACGTGTCATTATTAGGTTGTATTAACACTTTAAAACTACTTGTCATAGCTATTTCTTTTAGTTTTAATTATTTTCATATTTAAATTTTATTTAGGGTTAAATACAACCTGCATTCATGTACTATCACTAGTGTCGTATATACCCCCTTATACTATGAAATGCCACAAAATGGCCCCTCACGTTACCCAACGTTAGAGAATCTGTCACTTTCCAAGGTTGACCGACCATTGAACTGACCTTTGGATGTTTTTGGACAAAAATACCCCTATAGTTGTGTATAAAAGGATATACCTCATTCTTACTCTTTTTTACTAAATTTATTCTCAACTTCTTCCATAATTTTAGTTCCCAATCCAAAATTTTCACCCCTAATTTTTGAAAAACAAATACTTGCATTCTCGAAATTCTTTATAGTTTCTTTTTAAATTTTTAACATTTTACATTTTCGTTTCCCAGCCTAAAATCGTAAGTGTATTCTTTTAAATTATTGATTTTTTTTTGCTGTATTATTCCCTAATTTTAGTTGTATTCTTATGAGTTTCTTAATTTATTTTATGGATTTTGTTTTAGTTTTATAATTTTATTCAAAGCCTCTAAAATGTTGATGTAAAATGTCTTCCGGTATTTCTAAAAATGTTGATTTCATTCAATCGCAGTGGAGAAGATGAAAGGGGAGAGGATAATTTTTTTTACTTTTCTTCTGTTATACGCGTTCAAATAATTGACAAGTTACAAACTCACAAAATGGCTAAGGGTAAAAAAGTAACTTTGCTATAGAAATTAACGGTGTTAAAGATCTGAGAGTTGACTTGCAACATGAGGGACCATTTTGTCGCATTTCGTAGTACATGAGAGGTATATGCGACACTGTGTGATAGTACAACGGGTGCAAGTTGTATCTAACCCTTTTATTTATGGACAATTTGCTAAAGGTCCCTTTATATTAGATTTTATGTGAACAAATTCAAGTCATAAGTCCTAATTTTCTTTTATTTCTCACATGTTTAACAAAAGGTATAATAGACTCTACACATTTTCTGCTAAAAAACCAACAATTAATCAGAGGGGTTTTTTGGGTAATTACGAATAGGTGATGATGTTTTTCATTATTTAGCCTAAGTTCAGGGATATTTCGTAATTTACCCTGAATGATTAACAGAAAAGACTACACATTTTACTATTTTAGTAAATGAATTGCGGCTACACGCAATTTCTATATTCAACCACAGCTTTCTTGTCTCCCGCCTCAACAAAAGAATATTTTTTTTAAAAATATTTTTGGGCTGAACAATTTTTTTAGAAAATAAATAAAATAAAATTGGCAAAATCCCAGATGGTTAGATCGGGTAATAATTGAATGATACACATTCTTTGAATAATTATTGAGTAACAACACAATTACCGTCAGCATATATATATCTTTTTCCTCTTACAGAAAAAAAGAAAAATGAAAACAGAAAGTTCTTTATTAGCACACAAGGAAACTACATTACTAAAGCAAGTTCTTCCCATACTTCAACGTACAACGATCTGAAAGTTATATAACCCATTGTCTGAAACATTGTTTCACTAAGCAAATTAAATTAAAACTCACAATACTATAACAAATAAAAAAAATAAAAAAAAATGTTGTACGGTAGGGGAGCTTCGTTCGAGATAGAGGAGGCGGCGGCGGCGGATGACAGGCCAGCGGCTCTTCTGCGTCGGGAGCTCAACAAGATGGAGCGGAGCTGGCTGCTCCGGCCGGATGAGCATAAGACGACGACGAAGAAGCATAATACTATCTTTCTTTGGATGATCGGCACCATTTTAGCGGCCGGCTTAGCCACCGCATTGATCAGCTCTATGGTAAAGAATTTGCCGCGCCACCGCCACCACCACCAACCCCCCCCCCCCCCCCCCGGCCCGCGGATAATTACACTCTGGCTTTGAACAAGGCCCTCATGTTCTTCAACGCCCAACGCTGTAAGTGAAGAAATATTGTTTGACTATATATTAATTTTGTGATTTTTCAGAAGCTGTGAAATAATGTTACGTAATTATTTAACCCATAATTTTTAGGGTAAATAGCATTAAACCACCTAAACTTTTTACGTTTTTGCGGATCACCACCTGAACAATTTTTTTTTGCAAGAGTTCACCTGTACTCAATTAATTGTGCCACTTTGCCGTTTTTTGCCCGTTTTCAGGTCATAATGACCGGTTCTGGACACACGCGCGTTGCACATGCGAAATCCAAGGGTATTGTTGGCTTTTTCATTTTTAAAATTGAATAAATGTTAATTTTCATTTATTTATTTTATTTTATGTTTCTTTTTTGAAATGAATTTTTCTTAAATAGAATAAGTAAAAAAAGAAAAAGAAAAACGTCATCTTGTTCCCAGCAACTCAGCCCTGTATTTTGAACTCATGGCCCAAAAAATCCGAACAAACCACCGACATAATTACTTTCTCGCCTCTGCAATTCCAAGGATGACCACTGTCGTCGCACCAATCTCACCACCCACCGCCCACCGGCGCACACCCGATCTCACGGCCGAGCGCCGCTCACCGCCGCCGTGGCATGGGGCGGCCTCAATTGTGAGAAGATCCTATAATCCTCCATTCGTTGGAAGAAGATCTAGTCGTTCGGAGGAAGAAATCGAGAGAAAATAGTGTTCATATAACTTGAATTGGGGAAAGGGGGAAATTAAATGAACATTTTGGACCTAATTTTAGGTCCAATTTCAGTCATGATGGCGGCGGATCTGAAGAAGATGTGGTGGTGGTGGTGAGCTTGGTGGTTGTGCAAGAGGCTGCTTACTCGGGGTGAGTGGCTGCAACATGAGACAAATGGTTGATGAAAATTGTGAGTTAGATGAGTAGGGTGGGGGGGTTGGATATGGTCTGCCGCCGCCAACGCCGTTGGCCTTGATGAGTTCATCTATGTGAAATTACGGCTGATTGCCGGCGGGTAAACGGCGGCGTTTTTCTTTTTGTTGGTCTGATGATGGTGATGATTAGGGAAAAATAAAGTAGCAGCAGTACAGTATATGTGGTGTTGTGGTGGATCTTCTTCTCGGATTGGGAACAAGACGAAGACCCTTTTGTTTTTTTTTTTTAATAATTATTCTATTTTACATTTATTCAATTTTAAAAATGAAAAAGCCAACAATACCCTTTGATTTCGCATGTGCAACGCGCGTGTGTCCAGAACCGGTCATTATGACCTGAAAACGGGCAAAAAACGGCAAAGTGACACAATTAATTGAGTACAGGTGAACTCTTGCAAAAAAAAGTTGTTCAGGTGGTGATCCGCAAAAACGTAAAAAGTTTAGGTGGTTTAATGCTATTTACCCTAATTTTTAATATTTAATCTGTTGGCATAATTCATTAATTTATTTCAGCCCGTAATTTTTATTGGGCCCACATATTTAATAAAAGTAAGTCCATTATTTATTACCCAGTCCATAGTTTCTGTTATATTATTAACCCAAATTACAGATTCCACCCAATTCCTCTTTTCCTCTTACTTCTTTAAATAACTAGTATTTTTTCCCCGTGCGATGCACGCGATCCAATTTTAAAAGTGAAAATAAATAATCAATTTAACAAATTAAATTTCTATTTTTATGTTTTAGGATTTGGGATACATTGATGAAAACGGGAGGTTGAAGTATTTTTCACGATTCATCAATTTGATAATTGTTGAAAATATAGT